TACGTTAAGTCCTACTAGAATGGTAACAATTACACTAAAAGTAATCACCCTTAGAGCAAACTTAACTGATCACCATTAGCATCTTTTGATACCAAACTGGTAGCCTATTATTCCTTACTATTTTTCTAGATTTTTCATACTTTCTATCTCTTTCAATCAAGAGTAATAAAGTAAAAGTCGGGCAATTGCTTATCACTGAATTAGACAATTAATGGTTGCTTGGTTTTCTGCAGTTTTGAATTTTTGAGTTTACAGCCACAAAAAATCATCAGCACATATGACTTCTCATCTGCACACGCTGCATGATGCAGTTCAGATTTGCAGTTCATTTTTGATAGAGGAGTCAGTTTTGACTGGGCGTTCTTTCTACTTGAAATGCGCGGTAATTTTCACTATTCTTTCTCAGATTTCAGTTGACCTGGGAGGCGGACATAGAGGAGACGGGCAATTAGGGACGTGGACTTAGGGACATGGATTTAGGGGAGGCGAGGATGACATACCTCTAGCAATCCCCCCCCCCCCCCATTCTCCGTCTTCACGAATTCGACCCTCTAACCAACTAAAGAATCACCCCTTTGGTATTATTTTACGGCATCAATTTTATGACGACCAACCTTAAAAGTTTTCTAAAGGCATCTTCAGCGCCAACAGATACTAATTTTGAAGAAAAATTACCATTTTCTGGTCAAAATTTTCTAAAAAGGGCCCAAAAACAGCCTTTTTGACCATTGTTTGACCATTATTTTGTTTTTGAAATTAAGTTGTCAGAACTGTTTGGTTAAAGTAGGGTTCTTATATTGTCCTGGGACAAGGGAGATAGCTCACTGCTACTTCAAGTCTTTGCTCTCTGCCAGCTATTGACCAGAAACACTTCTTAAAACCTTAGCTTGCCGCAATTCATTTTTTACTATAAAAGAGTTGCGGAAAAAAAATCAAAAAGCGGAAAAACGAAAAACATAATTGAATCTGAATTGAGTTTCAGGAAATTCAATTGTTGCAGAAAGGCGATTGAGTTATTTGTTTTTGGCGATTATCAAAAGAAGCTGCCACCAACAAAAATCCATCGCTTGATGTTTTTGTTCTTAAAGAGTTTTGTCGGCTATGAAAACCGTTCATGATATCATTTATGAATGAATTTCCAGAATTATTTTTCATTCATCAAAAATATTTAAGAGTTTTAATTTTTTACTTACCGAAAAGCATGTTTTCAAACGCTTCGACACAAGAGCTGGAGTAGACATTTAGCATATCAATTAATCTTATCGCCTGATTTTTCCAAGTTGTTGTGCTGAAAGTATCCTTACAATACTTTGAATTTTAGTACTTGAATGAATTTTTTTACTTCGATTCAAAAACAGCACGCAGAATGTATCAAGTTCAGTTATACAATTTTGCTAAGAGACAATCAACAAAAATTTCAGAAATAAATTGAAATAATTTGATTTAAAACCTCATGATAAGTTCCAATTAGCAGGCTTCCAATTAGCTCAAAGCTTCATACCATAAAAGTTGATATAATTTATGATCCGAAACAATTCGTTGGTTTTTTATTACTGAAAACTACACGAATAGAGAATTAATAATTTAAAAGCTTGATGCAGTTTGCAGGCTTCCGATTAGTTTCAGGCTTCATATCATCAAAAAATGATTTAATGCATCTTGAAGGCTTCCAATTACTTCAAAGCTTACTATTATCAGATTCTATGCTGAATTTAAAATCTCAAACGCGAAGCATTGATTGTTCCAACTGCTTTTTAAGATGTATGAATTAGTCAATACTTACTAAAACTGATGAAATTTTTTTAAAAAAATGATACAACAAAGTATTAAATGTATCAAATTTACTGGCTTGCAAAAAAAAACTCTCCAAGCACGAGTTTTTGAAATTTTGAAAAAAAAAACTTTCTACGAGATTCGAACTATGATCTAGATTTAAAGTCTTATTTCGGCCGCCTCTGCGCCATGCGCTCTGCTGTTCTTCAAATGTCAGCCACCAATTCACAATTCAACGATTAAAAAAATGAATCACAACTAATATATTATATAAAAATATATGAAAAGATCGTGTGACAAAAATATATAAAAAGATCGTGTGCAAAATTTGAAAAGTTTTGCTGGAACAAAAACAATTTTTTTGAAAGACTTTTCAACATTATTTAACAATTAAGCGAAGGGCAAAAAAAATTTAAATGGGGCAAAAATTGGATAGAAAATGATTAAGATCCGGTATCGACTTTTAAAAATAAATTTAAATTCTAATTATAGAGAAACATTCAAATTTTTGGCGTTTAAAACTCATATTTATTTTAAAATAAACTAGCTTTTCATTTAAAACTTTAGAAAGACAAGTGAGACAATTTGAGAGAAAATTTCGAAATTTAGAAATACATAAGAGCAGTAGTAAATAAAAAAAGAAAAGCTTGTTTAATTTCATCAAAAAAAACTAGCTTTTCATTTAAAACTTTAGAAAGACAAGTGAAACAATTTGAGAGAAAATTTCGAAATTTAGAAATACATAAAAGCAGTAGTAAATAAAAAAGCGTTTATTCAAAAACAATTATTCCATTGAAGCGATAAAAATCAGTATATACAGGAAAAAGTTGATTGTTTAAATTGAGTTATACGGTTTCAGGAAGCCAGGGGTGGATATAGGGCTTTCTCGAGGGGCGGAAGTGGAAGTGGATTTTCAAAATATTTTTCGAAAATTTGTCGGCTTCTTTTTAGGTCGACCAAATTGATTTTCCGAGCTCTTCCAGTGCACTAGAAAGATCCTGTTTTGGTCAAAATTTTTAGGCAAAATTAATAAAAAACATTCCAAAAAAGACATTTTTAAGCACATTTTGAATAATTTTGACCAAAACTTAAATTTTTTTAATACTAGGGTCCGTCAGCCAAAAATCGACATCTCAAAATAAAACAAAGGGAACCCTTTGGGTTGGCAAGGGGTCGAATACCTGAAGGGGCGTCCCTTCAAAATCCTCTACTGGTCGAAGTAATGATATCAGGAAAACTCCGAAAAATCCGATACGAAAACAAAACTGCACAAAGTATTGCAGTAATGACTCATTAAACACGACAGTTTTTCTACACCAAAACGTTAGTCATGCAATTTTGAACAGTTTTGAGATACTCTGAAACAGTTTTTGAGATTTTCATAAATTTTGAAAAGGCCCTAAAAATGACTTTTTAACGAGACAAGAATATTTGTTTATAACGTAGACCATTTGCTCAAAAACTTCAGAAAAAACTAATTTATTCAAGATTAGTATTAGTTACATTGTGCAAAAAAATAATAACCATTTTTGCCCCAATTGTAAAAAGTTGAGTGATTTTCTCAAACTTATGCTTCAGAGCTAGATAATTTCATCAAGTGTTACTGAGTTTGAAAACAATTTAGAAAAAAAACATTAAAAATGAAAACAAAAAACAAAAAAACGCTGATTTTGAGAGTTTTTGGACAAAGACTAGTCATGCAAGGAAAATGTTTACCCGCACCGAGCAATGAGAATGTTTACCCGCACCGAGCGCCCATGGATCATAATTGATTATATTGTCAGAATATGGTCAGTATCTATGTCAATATAATCCATTATAATCGATTATAATCGATTATAATCTATTGAATTAGATTATAGTCCTTATATTTTTTATGCAAAAATAATCCATTAAAATCTATTATAATCGAGTATAATGAAATTTTCCAAGATGTTATTTATGAAACTTATCTCATTTCTTGTGTACTGCAGTTGCTACGTATTAAGTTCAAAAAATGTTGCAATTTACATTAAAATTTATTATATATTTTTTCTGGTTGTAACACTTTTTTGTCTCCCAGTTTACTTTACCCTCCCCCCTCAGGTAGTGACGTTGACATATGACATTTAGTTAAACACATGGCATATTTTTTGTAAACTTTCTGCAAAAAAAAAAACGAATTTAGTTCTAAAAATAAACAGGATTATAATCAATTATAATGGATTATAACGGATTATTAATTTTAAAAAATAGTCTATTATAATGACAATAAAATCAATTTCGTGGTCTGAATTTTACATCTGTAATGGGTTATACTGGATAACTTTTGTCTCGGGAATCCATTATATTCAATTAGAATTCATGGGCGCTCGGTGCGGGTAGTCACAGAGTTATTATACATCGTTATAAGCCACGTACAGAATGTATGAGAAATTATAGTGAAATTATATGAATAGCGTTTCTTGTCATATCGAGGAAAATGAATCAATCAGTAAAACTTAAATTTCATTATAAATACCTCAAACCTCATTTTACATACAGGAGTCCTTTTGAGATACGGACAATTTTGCTTAAATTTAAGATCTGTTTGAAAATTCAACTTATCTTGTCCTTCATAGTTATCCAGCATTTTTAGCACTCAAGAAAGTTTTAAGTTGTGCATATTTTAATTTTGGGTATGACAATATAGCTAAACTTTCTAAAACTCGAAGAGTGAAAAAAAGTTGTTTAAAAAATCAGTAATAGGTGAAATACCCCGCCATAGTTAAACGCAGTGCTGCGATATTTGATTGGGGATACGACCAGGGGCGGATTTAGGGAGGGGGGGCGGAGGCCCTCCCTCAGGGATTCGACCCCCTGCCGACCCAAAAGGTCCCCCCTTTGATACTTTTTCAGAAATCCATTTTTGGCCGACCGACCCTAAAATTTTTTCTAGGCGCCTTTGGCGCCAATATATACTAACTTTGAGGGGGAGCGCGCGCCAAAAAAAAACGCGATTTTTTTGTCAACAATTTTCAAAAAGTGCCCAAAAATGGCTTTTTTGACTGTTTTTCAAAAATTTGCTTGCGGCGCAGAAAATTTAGCCAAAATAGGGGCAAAACAGTGCTTTGGGAGAACTCAAAAAATCAATTTGATCGACCTAAAAAAAAAGAAAAAAAAGGTCGTCAAAATTTTCGATTTTTTTTTGAAAATCCGCCCCCCTCGAGAAAATCCTAGATCCGCCCCTGGATACGACTAACTCTTACCTGTTTATGATCAGTGACAAAACACGTCGAGAAGTTTACCTGCAAATTTCTTTAAGCTAAATTATTTTTAATGTTTTTCACAACTGATCCGATTAGCTCGATCAATACAGTTTATTATGACTTCACAGCCAAAAGTTAATAAAAATGAGCACTTTGATCGATCGACAACAGAATAGTCTTTCTCGAATACACTTCAAAAAAAGTACTAATTTACATTACCAACCGAAGGCCAATCACACATTGCGTATAAACATTTGTTAACATTTATTACAAACTATAAACACTTTATTCAAATCTTTGGTGTATCGGTGTCCGTATCGGTTAAAAAAATGAACCAACTTAGATTGTGATAAATCGATCAACGCTCAAGAGTAGACCAACTATCACCAAGAGTGGCCGAGTAATCAACTCAAAAACTTAAGAGGCTCTTATCATAACAAATCACGAACACGTGAAACTTATACGACTTTGTCTGCAATGAACTCAGATTAGGTATCTTTCACGCAACTTAAATCTTAGAACGATAGCTATCTAGCTATTTGAAACATTTTTAAATATCGGGAGAAAAAATTTATCATCCTTCATAAATTTTTCAACTTGCTTTATGTTTCAAGCTCTAAGAGGCATAAAATTTGAACTAACTAACGTTACGAAAATTGGATCGTATTATCTCGACTAATACGTGCTGCGCTGGTGACTTGTTCAAAAAAAATTGTACTCGCCCCTCTAGATCTCTCTTAAGCTTTTGACCTTTTGAGCTATCGCACACTATTGGAACTTCTCAAGGGTTCTGTTTTTTCGATTGAGCCCGAAAACTCAGATTTGAGAGAGTAGTTTTCGAGAAGAACCAAAAGTTTCAGAAAACGGTCAAAAAATCAAAAATTGGACTTTTCTTAGGGTCATAAATCTTATTTGAAAAATTTGGGCGTAGTCGTCCAGGCAAACGCGCTTTCCGTAACCCGTTCTTTGGATTGAACTCAAAATTTAAGGTATGTGAATGTAGTTTTCGAGAAAATTCAAAACTTAAAAACAAAACGGTCAAAAAAGCAAAAAATTGACTTTCCGAGGGCGGCAAATTTTGCATAAAAAAATTGTGATAGACTCCTAATGCGAGGGAGTTTTCGTCTACCCGTTATAACCATTGAACCTACAACTTGAGATTTGGAGGGTTAGTTTTCGAGAGAAATCAAAAAATTTCAAAAAAAAGGTAAAAATAAGCAAAGTTTTCACTATTCCGAGGGCCAGAAAATTATATTTACAAAAAATTGGGTATAACAGTTTATGCAGAGGAGCGCTCTGAAACCATTTCTATTCATTGAAAACAAATCTCAGATTTGAAACGGCAGCTCTTGAGAAAACGAAAAAAAATCAAAAATACAAAAATATGGGTCAAATTTCCCTTCACCGACTTTTTCGAAGGTTGTAGACAGAGTGGCAAGACAAAAAAACTAGGAGAGCATGCAGACACAGTAGACAGTAGGCGGTCTTTCCAAACTTCCCAATCCCAAAACTAATGAACAAAAAAACTATTGAGCGTCAGCCAATTAACGAGAAAAAACTACTCTGTTGAAATAAAAGTCATCATTACGTTAATCGATTAAAAAGCTAAACTTTTCAACCTTGAGAATGACTTTTCTCCATTAGTTATTTTTGACTTGATTAGTTCTCGACCAACAAAATCCCAAACTTTCTTAAAATGGTTGGAAGCATTATTCTTTCCGGCAAAAAACTCCAGCTGCAGCTTTCAAGATGATTGCTCTCAAAATTCATTAAATACTTCCATCTCCAAATTTGTCAATCAAGTTTTTCGTAACCTTTACGCTTTTGCGGTTCAATAGTGAAAATGTTTTCCTTGTAACAAAGAGAATCAACTGAACTTTAACAAAAATCAAACCGGGAAAAGTAAATTTGAGCTTGAGCTTTTTTTATAAACTTTTCAAGGAAAAACAAAAAAATCATCCCGACCTACAAAAGAGTCTGAATAACGTTAATAACATAAGGTTGTGTCGAGTTTACCACATAACCACCAAAAATAGCATCAAAACCTATTTTTACAGTAAAATACTCCACTGAAGCAAGCTAATAGCTTTTTAATTGCAGGAAACCAACTGGATGTGAGGTGAGAGCAAAAATGAAGTAAGATATGTTTTACACGGATGGTTTATCTCTTTGAACACTCCACTAAATCAAGATAATAGCTTTTTAATTGAGGTGAACCAAATGGATGTAAAATGAAAGCAAAAAACAGGGAGGCGAAGTTTGGCATCGCAAACACTTGCGAGAACACGACAAAAAAGCTCTATGAAGTGCAATAATAAAAATTAGAATTAATCCTCGAATAAGCAAAAATTCGTCTTCCTCTCAGGTACGAACCTGCCACTTAGAATTTAGGAGCCTCACACTAACCACTAAGCCACGGAAGCTTAATAGGTACCAAAAACCATTTAGTCACAGATAAAACAGAGAACAGATGCTATGCAATTTCCAATGCTACAGTAAAATTTCCAAATAAGTGAACACTTACATTTGCGAGTTAGCTTAGAAAAAAAGAAGGTTCGTAATAACAGACTAAGCTGATCGTAAGTGTAAATACGAACTGATTTACACGGATAGTTTGTCCCTTTGAGAGCACTGTAAAACATCAAGCTTGCAAAGGCTTTAAAAAAATATTTATTAATGTTTCGTTGATATTTTGTCACAGAAAACTAGCGGTTACTAATTTTACTGAACCTCGGAAGGTCATATTTTTTAACTTGATATCTCTTTTTCATTCGTTTTCCGATAAGTAGATTACGGGAAAAGAAGAAAATAATAAAAAACAAAATTAAAAACCCAACAAAAAATAGGCAAGGCAGCAAAAACAAATCGTGATTCGTTTCTTTCATGAGACAGTTTTCGCAAAATCCGACAATAATTCGCATTAAAAGAATACTTATACTTTGAAAACAAATCAATTTTTTTCAATTTTTCTCTTGCTGAACGCAGATTCGATCAGAGCTTCCAACCTCATTTTTATCTTGTAATTGCTCAAGTTTTTTCAACGTTCGATTAACTTTTATTCAAAAGAGAAGAGAAGAAAGTACCTGCAACACTTTAAAACTCGGTTCAAATATTCGGAACTTCACCATTTTTGTTCCGACTTTCAAAAAAAACTTGGGGTAGTTTTTTTATTCAGTCAATTTTCGACAATCGAAATAAGAGTTTTTAACAAAAACTTTTCATGCCCTATTGAAGATATCGACTCGCTAAAATCAAATTTGAAAAGATATTTTGCGTCCGATCATTTTTTGCAAAGTTTGGGAGTTTGAAAATTACCAATTTGGCCATGCTCTGGACTAATTTATGCACGCTTTGTAGATTTTATCCGATTAATTGAGGCTAGCTTATCGGTCGTATCAATTTCGTACGCCTCAAATTTTCTCACTTGACTTTTCATATTGTCCAAAATTTACAGTTTTTTGATATTTTCTTTTCGTAAAAGATATTCGATATTGATTAAGGGGCAGTCGGAACATTCAAGGCTTTAACCTGATAAACGAGCAGTCTTGCTGATGTTTAATTGTTGCTGCTAATTTTTGCTCAAAAAATTTCATTATTTGTAACCAAAGAAAGTTGTCTCAAAAACACCGTATATTACTTCTCTACCTTTCAAATCGAGTCTTTTTTATTGGGGAACAGAAACTGAATTGCAGAAAAATAAATTGTCTTTTACTGAAACAAAAAATGTCAAAGCGTTATGGAGACAGAATAAAAGTTGTAGAAGAACAAATGATTGAGCAGAGCATAAAAGCACACAATCTTCCTGTAATGAAACATTAGGTCAGTTCTAGAAGCTAAAACCACAATAGATGACGCCTAAATGCATTGATGGTAAATGGTACATAACACATTCTGTCAGAAGTATTGACAAACTGAGGGTAAATAAGTATACAAGCAGCTCACGTGAAGTAGTATTACAGCACTCTAATGCATTTAAGGATACAGTAAAAGTATGCACTAAAACAACCTCCCCCACCCTCGAATAGGTAGGGGGGTTGGTTGTTGCAACGTCATTTTGAGAGGCAAGTAGTAGTGTTTAGTTAATTTTAGGTGTTGCACATATTATCGATTGGATAATCTGGTTACATATAAAATCATGACTTTAAATTAGCATTTCAAAGTGGTTGTCAAACTTAATACCAGATGACAAACATAATACATTGAACAGAAATAAATAACGAACCGGGGTAATAAATATAAAAGCACGGCTTTCTACGTAACGTACTAAAGGCAATTAATTATGGAACTAAAACATAAAAAGGACAGAAGAGTAAATCTAAGTGACAATATCTAATCTAGCACCAAATAAGGCACAATTTTTGTGTTTTCCATGAGTTATTTTCTTAAAAGACCACAGAAGGCACCAGGTATACCAAAGCACATCAACTACTTTGTATGCATTAGTTCAGGAGACAAGTAAGGTTGTTCGAATCAACAGTTTGCGTCGCTGATTCGGCTTTTCGAAAAGTTAGTATTGCATGTCCGAGCGAGTTTCGCGTCAGTCGCTGCTCGTTTATTCGGTAATTGAGGAGCAGTTTTAATGCTAGATTAATCCAATGCACCGTCAAAAAAATCCCCCTCACACACACTGCATTTTGGAACGTAAAAATATCTTTTGCGTCAGTTTTTAGTTACGACAGCAGTTTGGGGAATCATTTTGCACGATATATTCCCAGACTCAGATATGAAGTCAACAAAGCATTTGAAGTTAAAAAAAAACTTCAAATGTTTCCAGAATTTTATAAAGAATAATGCATTCTCAAGTAAGATTTTAAAAAAAACTCTCATGATTTTAATCACTTATTCTATGTGGGATCTTTGGTCATATGGTATGCCACTTTAGAAACGATCTTGAGATACAGAAAATCGTATTTGAGTCTGTTAAGTTACCTGCTCGAAATTCCTGAGATTAAAATGATGTTTAAAAGAGAACAACAACCAAATGAGTTAACAGTTCGCAGATTCCAAATTATCGCAAGCGCCAGACGTTAAAAAAGATTATCACAAGCCAAAATTTCATCTATATCAGGAGAATTTTGGTTAAGTAGAAGTACCAAATAATTCATTAATATCAACTTATCAAATTCTATTGCACAAACTAAGCTACCTAATGGTTTATTGATTTGGTAAGTATTATTAAACTGGAACGAAAAATAACAAATTTGGAAATAAATAAGCAACTTGAACATTCAACGAACAAATACTCAAAAGCTATCAACGTTGTAATTGCATGTATTATTTGTTTTTTTAACACACCTTCAAAATTAAAAGAATTGTTTTATTGCACTTTACAACGATCAACGTACGCAAGAGTGCTTGATAGACAAATGGCGATGAATAAGTTGTATATTCAAAGAGTTTCTGTTTGAAAAACTAGATCAGTTTTTTATTTTAAGGCACCAATGAGTAGCAGAATTTTTTGTACGGAAAGACCAATCAGACAGTTAATGATGTTTTGTTTTCAGATGGTCTCTTTCTAGTCCTGTCAAGTCCATTAAAGCTCCGACTCCGAGAAACTTCAATCATTTTGACTTCACTTTCAAATCATTCGTTTGTATGTCCTGGTGATGTGATGTAGAACAGCTTCTCTTAGCCACATGACAACACCTTTCACAACTCCCCCCCCCCCGCCTCAAAGGGCGAAGTTCATATCGTGAGGCGCACTAGGCGTGGTGCCTACACTTTCACTCACGATCCCTGCCGACTTGGGTGGGGTCACATTCGATACCACAGACGTCAGGGGTGGTACAATAGGGGGATAGTCGAGGTCGTTGTTGTTTTCCGCCGATGTCATTCCCCCTGTTTCTCCCATTTGTGATGTGCAGTTGGTTGTTGTGGGGGGGTTGGCGTCGCCGTAAACCATGATGCAATGCATCTGGTCTGTGACTGAGAGAAGTGTCTCCATGTTGCAGCCTAAGATGTCCACCAGGCGATGAGAGCACAAGTTGAACACCTGCAAAACAATTGCTATTCACACTCCAACTATCAGATATCTAAGACATGCTACAAAAGCGGCAAAGCGTAGCTCATAAATCAGTACTAAAAAACCATACGAGGATCGCCAACAGACGGTTCGAAGTGTTAATGAACGAACTAAAGGATTCAGAATTTTTTGAAAGTTGCGGAGAAAAAAAGTATTGCATCAAAGCTTATTGAATTTCAAGAACGTTTTATGATCAACAATTTTCTAGTAAGCTAACCAAATTTGAGATAACTGGATCAATAGGAAAATTTTTGAAGTGAATTTATGAAGAAATCAAAGTCAAACTGTCAAAATTTCAGTTTGAGCCTGAAAAATTTTTAAAACTTTTAGAAGAAAAATCAGACAGCACACACGAAATAACAGCCTTCTTCATTAACAGGATACCTAACTATGCCAACCTGATGCTGCTCAAATATGAAAATTTACACAGAGGCAAAGCTGTGATTCGCAAACACTAGCGAGAATACGACAAAAAGCAGCTCTATATAGCACGAAAGTGGTGGAAACTTACATTCTGTGCCTGTGGACTGACTGCTAGACTAGCCATAGTGTACAACAGACTAGCAGCTGCCAACAGAGACTGACTCAGTCCCAGCATCTGTTCACACAGCACACACTTCAGGACTACTTCAGTTGCCCTCTCCACCATCACACCCACCACTTCACTGCACACTAGGAACGAGGCCATGCTCTGCAGGAAGGGCAAGGGGGTCACACTGTCTAGGTCCCAATCTAAACAACATAACAAACACAATTATCCACACATAATATAAGTAACCATGAACAGACTTCCTGAATTCATTTTTATCAACATTTAACCTTAATTTTAAACTTTTCAAACTTACCTATAGCTCTTCAGAAAAACAGCAACACAATAAGAGTTATATAACACGCTTTTTCATGGCTATCAAAAAGCATACTCCAATTCAGCTCTAAGAACTCCTCAAACCGGCAGAAGACGAGACAACTAATATTTCAAAACTCAATTAACTAACTTGAAAAACATCGGCACTGTCGTTTTATGGAACTTATCAGAGCAGATTATATTGACGAAGAACAGTCAACTTCATTGGTTTCGTGATTGGTATTGATTGCTGCCGCTTTCTTGATTTTATCAAATGCACCTGCAGTTTCACAGATTTATTTTGATTAAATTTAACTGAAAAAAAAATGTGACAACTTGGTACGGCCTTGAAATAAGATATTTCTCTGATTAAGCTCTTATGAGTAGAATACGTCACAACGCTCTTTGCTAACTGACCTAAGCTCACTGTCATGACCATCTCGAACTGTCTGATTTCTTGTTCCGAACAGGAAGAATAAGTTAATGCCTCCAGTTCCGCGGGGGTGACTGGACAAGTCTCTCTGAGTTTGGATGCCAATAAATACCCTGTGGCTGCGACCAGTTGTAGTTTCTCGTTTGGGATGCACTGGCGCACTAGCATCTGGTCGAATAGACTCATGGCGTGTAGTGTCACATTTGGGTCAGCCTCTCTGCCCTCCGATACTTCTAGCAGCCACTCCAGACACTAAAAAAAAGAAGAATTACTTTATCCAAGAGTATAAAGGATACACAGAGGCGAAATTGCAATTGCATACACAAGCAAAAATATGACCGATAACACTAAGGGAAAACTGAATGAGTAAAACTCTGAGTCTACAAAATTTCTTAAGTGACGCACGCCAATTATGACGCATTAGCAGTACCAGTCAAATTGAAAATTTTTTTTTTAACCAATTAACATGCCTCAATTTATAGAGCACTCTATGGAGCAGTAATAACATGAAAAAATTAAATTTAATACAAATGAAATGATTTTATTTTTCTTAAAGATTTTTATGAAAATCATCCCCCCACACGCCATATAATAGAGTTAGCGAAGTGATAAATTTCGCTCCTAGTAACAAAAAATTAATAATTTAGCTCCTAGTAATTTCGCTCCTAAATTGTAAATAGTTTGAAGCCCAAAGCATCGCTAACTCTCAAGGCGTTTATGGTCGACCTAATTGACTTTTCGAGCATCTCCCTGATTTATCGAAAATTTCTGCGCCGAAGACGTATTAAAAAACGGCCCGAAAAATATGTATTATTTTGCGCGCACGTCCCTCAAACTTGAGTGTTTATATCCACTCAACAAGCTTTGAGAAAAACTTTAGGGTTGGACGGCAAACAAAGGAAGTAGTAAAACACGACCAGGGTTAGCCTATGACCAGAAAGTAGAATTTTTGAGGAGTTTTGGTACTCTCAATTTGTGAGAGGAGAAAGGTGCCCTAACTAAAGTGAAAATTGACTAAACGGTGAGAGAATCTTTTTTTCTACGACAGACTAGAAACTACTTTCCATGACGAAACTTTGATAGTTTCAATTTTCAGGATCCAAACGACCCCGCCTTCACGCGGTAAACGTCAAAAAGCACCACAATCTCTTAAATTCTCAGTTTATCTGTCTCTACCTACTATTCCCAACAACCTACCAGTTTTACCACACTCAATCCCTTCCCACTCGCCAAATACTCCCTTATATTCTGAACTGCTTCACAGAGGAAACTACTGAAACTCTATATATCTATTCGTTCAACGAAAACCCTCCCGTAGATTTTTATAACCGCGACAAAGTCTTCTCTTTTCATTTTAAACCTATTTTAAAACTCAACCACGCAAAGTTCTTTGTCGAAGTCCCCACCTCTAAGGTTAAAATTACATGTATCCCTCCATTCAAAATTGACCCCACAGAACAATCCTTCTAAAAAAAACGGTAAGCTCTCCCAACTCTTGTCCTTTTCTATGCCTAACCTGCTATCTTGCACCCCACAAAAGATGCCAGCTTTTCAACTGTCCCCAAAACCACTTAAACCACCAAAACCACTGCCCCCGATATCTTCTTAACCACTTAAAACTGCAAGATATGGAGGTGAAATAGTAAAATCCGAGCAATACAGGTTCCAGAAGAAATTGTAGCGGATTAAATCACTCCAAAATATGTAATTGAAAAGTTAAAAGTGAATTGAAGTGGAAGGGTGACTTATGGAGAACACTTTTGCTTACCTTCTGTCGCATCCACAGTTCTATGTCTGGCGATGAGTAATTAGTGCTGAGAATGGGTCCAGTAGTATACTGTCTCACACATTGTAGTCCCTTCAGAAGCAGTTGTTTCTCCAGCTGCAATAGATTGTGAAGACTCCTCAATTCACTCCCACTCACTACACTGTTACTAGATGCTGAAGAGCTGCTGCTGAAAAAATCATTTTTAAATGAGAAAACCGTTTTAAATTGTTCGGAGAAATATTTCACGAGAACTAGGAACAAAAACAATCAACTAAAACGCCGTGAAGCCTCCAACATTATTTGTCCTTTTAGTGATATCAAGTTTTCTTAACCTGAAATGAGCAATTTTCATACTCATTATCATGTTACTTGATCGCTTTACTCGCCGGTTTTTCTAAACTTCCAACCGGTTTGTCTCGACTGAAAGGGCTTTTATATGATATATCACTCGACCCATTCTAACGATTACTTGTGGTTCCTCATTTTTCGCGAGAAAAAATAATAAAACAACCGAAAAGAAAATTTTCAATTGTCGGAAAAATGAGGTTCTGGCTTCCAACGACAAATTTTATTTTTGAGTGCTTTTAAATTCAAACAACCATTTTTGATAGTATTTTCATACTCTTTTTTGAATAGAAAACTTTTAGGAGGTTTACGATTGCACCGACATCCCAACATACAAGAAAAATAAATTTAACAATCATTTTGGCGTTTCTTTATTTCATTTCAAGACAGTAAACCAAGACAGTAAAACTAAAATCATAACTACTCCACTATGTATCCACTTTGAGCTCGACTATAATCCCGACTTTATTTTGACTATATTTTGATCGACTTGTAACCTCGAAACAAATTCAAAAACTGGACCTTTGAATATACTTACTTTGCGGGTTTGAATTTGGTCCAGAATAGTTTGTGAATTGTATTGGGGTCTGTATTTGTCGGTATTTTCCCCTTATCCCGAGTGTCGATCGCAAAAGCGAACTTCGGGTTCTTCTTGGCCGCCGACTGGCTGCGAGTATTCGTCTGACTAGTGTGACTAGTTTTCTGCGTCTGATTAGCATGCATTGTGGATGACGTGTTCATTGTGTCGATTGCATAAAATGATAATTCGATTTGTGGAAAGGAAATCAAGTATTAGTAGAATCACATTAGTAACTTCGCTTCAAGGAAAGTAAGAAGAAAGTCCGAGTTAAAATCAGCGATATATACACAAGAAATTAAGAAACAAAAATAAAATCCGGCGAGGAAAACAATTCGTCCGAATAAAAATAATTCGACGAGTTCCGTTAAAAGGCACTAAAACGATATCTGATATATGTTAAAGGATAGCTTAAATATCACTACAAGTGAAACAATGTATTTCGATTGTGCATCAATGATTGAAGGCCCTTTTTGGTACAGGGTTTGATTTTGCAGAGATCAGGGCTGTTTCGAATTTCGAGACCAAGCGCAGGATTGTTTTGTCAATGCCAAGGCCCGCTGAGTACGCTAATTCAATAAAGGGCGGTGCAGGTTTTCGTTTCAAGTGACAAACAGAGGAACGGTTATTTACTTTCAAGCAAAACGCGACAGTCGAAGAAATAAATCTTTTGATCGAATGTTTTATTTCACGCACAGAGCAACAAATCCGAGGATGATTTTCTAACAGATTGGCCGAGTTTATTGTTGTTCGAATAGTCGATTGTTATCGAGATTACGAGTTAGGATTAATTGACGTGTGAATTATAGTGATAAAGATTGTTATGCTGGGTGACAGTGATATTTTTGGTGGACAGCAAATCAGTGAATAGATATTTTGAGAATCGATCAATTATCTCCGGAGAATAATTAGGAAGAGTCTATCGGATCAATTGATTCAATAGTGATGGGGTGTATTAAGTGAACTTGGTTGCTTAAGTGTCTCCGCAAAACAATTTTTTCTTTAGTCCTTCCCCACAATAAAGTTCCAAGGGCAAAAGAGAAAGTTAGTTGTTCCGTCTTGCAAAACAGTTGGGCCACACAAATACCAGCAAGACTGAAACTGACTTCTCCCGCAAACGACCCAAACTGAATGATTACACTTTCTTGATCGGTTCTTGAGAAAAGAGGTTAAATTAGTCCGACTCTAACTTCAAGCCTCTCAAGTAAAGCAACAATGTTTCTGCTTAACTGGCCTGAAATTGGCTGTGCTTTTTGGCGAACCCTGACGCTTCTCTAGTTGGATTATTCTTTCTTTCTTTCAAACCAAGAAACTTGCGGTTTGGTTCTCTGTCCGACTGCTAATCCTGCTGTTTCTCTGACTTGTATATTGGCTCTCTTGGTTCAGTTGTGCTGTGTTTCTTTTCTTTGAGATTGGATTAGACCCTTTCGGCCGATTAAGTTCAACTTGCGGTTTAACAATAGCTACTGCCTTCTTTAGAATTTGACCAGGAATTGTTGGCGGATCCTTTTGCTTTCCATTCAAATTTTCTTTGGCTTCAAACTGCTGGATGGGTTCTTCAATCGGTTCTCGAGATTATTGTCGCGAGTGGGCAGAATAAATAAAATAGACTAGGGTACAATTTTGGGGCTGTTGGATTTAATCAGCACACAAGCCAACTGAAAAAGAAACATGAAGTCTTTAGAGTCCAACAAAACGACAAATCTAATTGAAAGAACGACCAAAAAACCCTAAATCCTCAAAATAACCAAGCAAAAGAAATAAAAACCAAAATCTGATTAAAATCAAATAAATTTTGTTAACGGAAAATAGGTCCTTTGGTGGAACTTTTACCCAACAAAATTAAAAATCAATGAAAACTTTTTGTTTGAAGTCCAGATAATTTTTCGCTAATTAAATTATCAATACTTTGAATGATTCGTTGAATATATTTTTATACCTTATCTTCAACCCCGTTGAACCTGGACATTATTTCTAATATCTACATTTGAATTCAGCCAAGGACAACTTTCAATTTGATTCAAATTTGAACCCATTTGAAAGTATCCCGCTCAAATTTCCTCCAATCAGATCAAAGTATGAATGGGCTAACTGCAAGGCTTTCATGTGCTTAAAATACAATAATATAGATGATTTAATCAGCTGAACAAATCTAATTTAAAATGGTAATATTGTAATACTTTTAAGTGAAATATCATCTAACTTCAAATCACTTGAAACATATTTCTTGATACTCTCAACCAAAGAAGTGTATCAAATTTGTGCTGTGTAGCTTTAAATTTCCACAAAATAAGTTTAAAACCTAAATTGAAAATCAGAAGTATTCCTGTATACCAGGAAAAGCTGTATTTGAAAATTCACTGGGTTTGGTCTTACTTTAGCTTAGCTTTCGGCTTGTTGCAAATTGCAACACGTAGTTGATACACTAAATTTTACCACAATAAAATGCCCGAAAAGGGAAGTTCGATTTATACCCAGGAATTAATAAGGATAAGGAAAAACATTAGGTCGAATAAATCTAAATCGGACTTGAAACTTAAAATAGCTAGCTTGAAACTTCAAGGGCATGGGTGGTGCTTCGACGTTGAGTTATCCAGGTTATCTTTCAAAGTCACAGAAAAAGAAGGCATATATTAGTTAGGTATGCATTTGTACCTATTTGATGGCAGTTTGCGGTGCAAGTAGTTCAGAGTGTTCCGAACACAAGGATTTAAAAAGAAGTTCAAAATTAAGTATACAAACCTACAAAACATTCTACATTGTTCTTTTTCAAAATTGTTGTTTCTCTCGGAAAGAGCGACTTAATTAGGTTTGAACGCAAGTATATGAGATAATAATGGCTCAAAATGTAAGAATCGTTCAAAATCAAAATGTAAGAATCGTTCAAAAAATGTTAATTAAATTAGTGTAATTAAATCTAAAAAAAAACGAGGAAACCAATTTAAAGTGTCTAGGAACCCGAATCACGGCTTCAATATCATATTTACATGGCCCTCTACAGCGTTTATTTGAAGTAGTCAAAATCTGCCGGAGAAAAGAACAATATAATCCATATTACTTCTTGGTGGCGTGGTCGGAAGAAAAATAGAAACCGCTCAAGGCGTAACTAGCACGAAACATTCCAATCAGTTCTCGTTGAAAAAAAAACATTAAAAAAGGGCTCTTGAAATGATTCAAGAAACAATTTTATTTTATTGAAAACCAAAAATAAACACCACATTTCAAGAAAACACTTTTTTCAAAAAATGAAAAGAAAAAATTGCAGAAAATTTATGAATCTTACAAATTTTTTTATTTCGATAAAAGCTCTACAAAAAACAATAATTGTATTGGAGGAACTAAGCTTCACGGCTTAATAAAATACTTATCGCCCTATCACGAGCCTGCTGTTAACTCGCTTTATTCGCTCGAATCACAATTTAATGTTCCTTCCACGTAACAAAAAACTAGGAAAAACAAAATAACTTTGATACTATTACGGAAAAAATTTTACTTTGTGAAAATGATAAATACACGAATACTAAATTTCTTCTTGGTTGGTAATAAAATTGAACTACAGCCTAATTATGGTTCAAAAACTTTTAGAATTCGAATTACCACTGAAAGAAAGGGCTTAAATATCTGACGTTTATTCGTCTAACCCATCAGACTTATATTTATGGTACCTGAATTTGCGTTACAAAAATCTAGGACATACTTAATTCCAATCCCTGCGCGTTCCGAACAAAAAAGACAGCACGTATTGCGCTGCGAGTGCTGTTAACCTTAAAACTTCGAGTAAAATATCACACATCTGAATCGTCATTACTTCAACATGATTAAAACGCCTCCAAAAATGAACTAAATAATCAAATTTGACTTACGCGTGAGGACAAAAACATGCGATGCAAATTCCTTCCAAAATGATATGATAAGATTCGCAACAAAATTGCAAAATAGGACAAAAACTCAATAATTCCGGTCTGAATCAAGGAAACACTGATAATTTAATATGCAACTTCGAAAAAGCTATTATCACTAAGTGTGCATAGCGCAATGGTACAGATTAATGATTATTTGTCACTCACAGAAGGAGGTATTTGTTTCTGTTGAGATGGCTTAGTGGGATTTCTGTTTACTAAACTGCTACTACTGAGGGTAAATAAAATAGACAGTGGGAATCCAAACCGATCAAAGAGCGGAGAGCCGATTACCACATGAGACGAAATACTAGAAGCAAAAAGTATTCACGCACAGTCGGAGAAAGTGACTGACCTCAAGAAACATGGTTTAACAAATCCTCTTGTAATTGTTTACGAGCGCCAGAGCAACTGGGAACGGAAGACAACTCGGAACATGTTCCCAAAATCACCATCCGAGGAGTTATTGAGATCATTAAAGCAATTTATCGAGGCAATTGATGCCAAACGTTTTAACTGGATATCATCATACCTTCGCCCTTCGGTAGCAAGTAAAGAATAACTAACCCTAGAACTTAATCGAAGGTTAAACATATGCGGATTTAGAATCTATAGTAGCAAATCCCCTTTTGCGATAGGGATGGAAATAGTAAAAAAGCTCCTTTTACCATTGGATAGTGCGATCGATATAACATGATTCACGAAACTACCATTCTTACGGAACGAACAAAGAACTTTTACGGATGAAGCTTTCTGGATCTTTCACTCGTTTTCTGCTGATCTTACTACTCAAATAATCCTACTTCTCACTTACTTCAAGAAAAATTGGAGAAGTGTATTGCAAATGAAGACCTTCAATTTGAAATTTAACACAAAGGCAAAGCGGATCTTCGCATCACTTAAGATACAAAATGTATGACTATGATTACCAGCAAATGAATAGACAAACCAAAAATTGAAAAAAAACTTCAATTAATTGTTTTTTTTAGATGAACTAAAAACTGTTAAAAGAAAAAAAATCCCTCAAACAAAATTACCAGCACAAATAGAAACTGAAAAGAGCTTTCAAAGTATTAAAAAGAAACCGAACCTTTCAGTAGGCACTATTCCGATAAAAATTAGAAGACACGAAAGCCTAAAATATTCAAAATCTTTTCAATTTCGACTAAAAAAACAGGTCCCGACAGAAATCGAACTTCTATGATTTGTCGTCTAAAGCATGGGTGCTACCAATGCATTAAACCCACAGAACACTCCTTGTATGTCAAAAGAAAACAACTTCCTTACACTTTTCATGAACAGCATGAAAAAAATAGCAAAAAAATAGGCAAAATTTCTTGGATTTGAATTACTTGCCCAAAACCGGAATACACTGAAGCATTTTTTTTTTGAATAAGTGTGGAAGTTTGAGTAAGTTAGGCAAATTTGGTGCGGCGGCAACTAAGCCGACAAAAAAGCAGACAAACATAAGTCCGTCAAAAAAAATTTTTACGCGCGGACAATTTTCCGCAAAAAAAACAAAAACAGGTTTAGGCCGGATTTGAACCACTAACCCTTGTCTATAGGCAGGTGCGTAAAATCTTCACCACAAGCGCGAATTAACGTCTGACTTTTGATTTCATATGAACCAAAGGTAAAATGATTCAAATGATTCTGATAAGCCAATTGTTAACACGAAACAAAGTCTATATTCAAGTTTGGCAACGCTTGCTAGTCGCAAGCGTAGAGATGATTTGTATTCAGATGACGATTCTCTATCGTGACATGTAGAAACGGACTTCCATGATCCTATTTTCATATCACAGAGGCGAAGCCTCGAATTAGTAAAAAATCGACTACATCTCGAATTCGATCTGCGATCTAGAGATAATGAGTCTCACGCATTAACCACTCAGCCACGGAAGCCTAATTATTCTCAAAAACTAGCCACAAACAAAACAGAGAACAGGTGCTATGAAATTTCCAATGCTACATATCGTGATTATAGCAAAAGTACCACCAAATAAGTAAACACTTTCATTGAATACTTTTCTTTGCGAGTTAGGTTAGAAAAAAGGTTCGTACTACTACTACACTACGCTGCTCGGACGTGTAAATAGATTCGACAATGTTCTTAATAAAATAAATGAATTAATTTGGTTTACACACAAACTAATTGATACCATTCCATTGAATTCAGTTTACGATTGACTTAATTTTGCTTCCAACGCAAAAAAAAAAATCAGTAGTAAATAAAAAAATTTTCGACACATATGCTCAACTACAAACGGCTTAATTGAGAAAGTTGGCCGGATGAAAAAAAATCATGTGTGGCAGTGTTGGCGCCATTATAGCCCATTAAAATTGTCTTTGTTTAATGGGAAAACTGCTCTTTATTTACCCCCATATGAAATATCCATTAACACTCAATTGCCAAAACAACCTAGCAGCAACTAGCTGTAAAACATGCGAGACAGGCATAAATCTGTTTCTGTAAATTTAAAGCAGACCGATCACAAGATCACAAATGGTTTATCAAGCAGTCACTTCAGACTTCCGATATCCTTTTTGTTTAGGTGGTAAACTATTTTACATTTACTACGAAGTCCTCGAATCAACCGCAGTGAATATTTCGAGTGGGCTCCATTGAATGAACTCCACGATAAGAGAGAAAAACGGTAGTCCGACAATTGATTTTTTGAATCAGAAAATTTTCAGATTACAAAAACTATAGGCACTGTACGGCCTCGAACCCCTCAACTCAGCCATTAAAAGAACGGACATTACCTCTTACATAAAAAATCCATATTTCGGTAATTTATATTAAAAAATCCATGTTTCGGTTCGATAACGAGTTTCATGCGGTTAAATTCACAAAAGAGTATTTCAATCTTCTAAGATTAGATCAAGAGTCTGTCTGTTCAACCGACCTAAATTTATATTTAATATTTGACAGGTTGAATGAGCTTTAAAGGGAAAAGGAATTAGCAGATAATAAACAATCGAGTTTAGCGCCATCAAAATAAGTATCAATCTTAGTTTAACAATTCATTTAACACTGCTACTAGATTATTTTTACCGAGAAACCCGAATGATTTTTGTAATAGCGACAGGCCCACAGAATCCCCCATTCGACAAACCGAACGTGCATTGGTAACAAGAAGCATAAATATACCTTTCATCCGCTGCAAAAATCGAATTTCTTGCTCTTCAAGTTTTAAAAAATGCAGCCAACCAAAAGTTTGCATAATGCAATATAGCCTTTAAAAGGTTCCAACCTAGCAAAACATCAAGCCTCAAAAAAATTGATCTATACCCTTTCGAAAGCAAAACCCTTTGGGCTATTCGACTTATTGCCCTATACATTTATCATTTTGCCACTAATTTAAAGCTTCTGTCCTTCGACTGGGGATTGCATTCACAAATCTCTAGCAGGCCAACATAAGTCAAATGAGAAGAGTGACTGACCCGAAAGAGTCTCCCTTCCGACATGGAACTTCAAACGAGTCCTGAATATGGAACGGGGGCAAGTTTGGGTGTTGTTTACCGTTCCACTGGAGGGACAAATAATTAAAACAACAATCAACCCCCAAGAAACAGAGATATTGAAAGAGGTAAAGAGCGCTGGTGGGTTGGAACTCGAACTCGCCAAATGATTCGAATAATAAATTGGGACCCTAAATCGAAAACCTCCTACGAAGATTTTACTAGCCGTTTAAAATACTCATAGAACATAGCAGTGTTAATGGTACTACTTACGCGTCGTAACGACCAAGGATTTGCATGTTTATTTGGCTAAAAAAGGCAGTTAATTGCAAATCGAGAAAATTTGTACTAAATTAAGCTGTGTCAAGAAAGAAGCAAAACAATGTCGCGATAGCTCACGCAGTTATGTTTTTATGTAGTGTTAAGAAAGTGAGGAACCAGTTTAACTCTTTGATATCATTTATCTGCTGAACTAATTAGATGCTATCCAAAAATGTAATCCAAAGATACAATACAATACAAAGTCGAGTAATACGGGAGAAGGAATTGACAAGAAAAATTATTCGGGGCAAATTACCTAAACATTTAGGGGGGGGGGGGGGTCCAGATAATTGCTACTTGCTTTTGAGATAGATTAGCATCCCGTTGTGCCTAGGAAGGCCAACACATTGGAGAACTCTTAGCTAGGAGTAATATTTAAATTTGATTAGAAGTAATTGCACTTGCAAACAGTTTAGTATGTACATTAGATACGAATATAAGCAAAATGCATCATTGATTCAACCATAATGCAATTCAAACCAATGCCTCTCAAGATGTCGTTGAACCGATTAATTACTTGCCTTGATCGTGGTCTATTGACCTTCCATATCGAGGGCTGTGTCGCGTCACAGTTAAGATTTGAAACGAAAATCAAGATTTGAAACGAAAATCAAGATTTGAAACGAAAATCAAGATTTGAATTTTTTCAGTGTCAGTTTCGTTCTCATCACTCCAAACTCACCAGTTGAACGACTTTTTTTCGCCATATTCAACAAAATGCGGAAAAAACTGATTCATATTATGTATATTAAAACAAGATCACATCACCTCATTAAGCACCGAAGTTCTGATCTCAGTAATCTTAAAAAATGAAAAAATTCAGTTTTTCCTGTGATCGCATGAAATATAGTGATGAAAACACTGAAATTAAAGCCTCCGACAAAAATGTCGGAAAAATCTTCATAAAAGAGTCGCTGTTACGATCTCTAGGGTTGGCTTTGAATAAGCGGCTTACACGAATGATAAAACACACGAATCAGTCTTGTTTGAAGAAGCTTTATATACTCATTTGGAAACGAGTCGTCGCTAACTTACATAAGTTACTGCAATATTAAAAGAAGGAAGTTATTTTTCCGACTTTCGTAACAAAAGTAACGGAATATTTGTGCTCGGGGTGGTTTTTTTTCTTCAGACAAGTTTCGACCATTTTTGACGGAATATTTTTTTATCATTCAAAAGGTGTTGTTGTCCTGAGGTTAAATTTGAAACGATATTTCACCTGTGATCATTTTTTGTAAAGTTATGGGGGTTTAAAGATTACCATTTTGGCCAATTCGGGACAAATAACGAGCGCTATTAATGAGTAAGCGGAGATTTAATCGTCTTAGAAATCGTTCCAAATTGGTTGAAGGAAGCGTATTTGCCATAAATTATTTGTTACTAGGAGCGAAATCTCTCACTTTGTGCTTTATATGGCGTATTGGGGGATGATTTCACAAAAAAAATTCAAAAAAAATTCATTTTATTTTATTACATTTTTTTTCATGCTATTACTGCTCCATAGACATTAAAAGGTAGTCGGAACATTCAGAGCTTCGCCCTGATACGAGTAGTATTGTTTTTGTTTGTCCCGGGTGATGTTTGTCCTGCGCAGCATATATTGATAGAACTAAAACAACAAAAACCGGAACCGTAAAAGAACTTACAAATTACAAAATATCTTTCAATTATAGTTAAAATTATTTGAATCGAAAATTAAGAAATCCAAGCTTTGGAATGGAACTGCTTGAAAGCGTACCAGATAAAATAAATTGCACTTAGAAAACTCAATAAATTGCCCTTATAAAATAAATTGCACTTAGATAAAATAAATTGCACTTAGAACACTAATAAATTGCACTTAGAAATGGTACTTAAAAAATAAATTGCACTTAGCAAAATTGAATGTGTCAGCAGAATTTGAAACGTTGTTTACGGGCAAAAAAGTAGAGTTCTCGATTACACTTCACTTGCTCTCTTAAATAAAAAAAACAGTAACGGCCTTAAATAAAAATTTAATTTTTTTTTCAGAGTTGTCTCTTTTTACAATGATGCCAGGAAACGGTGAAGGGATCTTTTAAAACCAATTTTGAACAGTTCAATGATTAGTTTTACGCTCTAAACTTTCACCCCACTTGCTCGAAATTAGACTACAAAGCTAAACTTTGAAACCAATTTTTCTCGACAGATAAAATTTTTCTGAAACCTTCGTTGGACTTTAATAGAATCATCACAAAAAGGAGTTTGATAAAACATATCACTCGACCCCATCAGAAAAACAAAACATGGAAATAAAACACACACGGATATAAAATTCCTTTCCACGTAGTGGTAGAAAAAGTATTAAAATGTAAAACATAGACATACAAAGTTACTTCGCATTTCGCGGTCATAACCAATAACTTTTGTTCCTTTTGCGATACAACTTAAACATTAAGAAACTTGAGTCAAAAAAATTTGAATGTTGAAAAAAGCTAGGTTTTCGTATATCTAGATAAAAAGCAACTATGAGTTCAGCTAAAGCTAGAGGTATTAGTTTGATATTGAATGAATTTGCTATACTGATGCGGCCCGAAAAATGAGACTTCAAAAAGTGGACTTCCCCCACTAAAAAAAGTGAGAAGAGTAAAAAATTTTGAGCTAAGCAATTTTCTCACGATCACATTTTCCTTACAAAAAAGTAAGAAGTTTCACTGCTAAAAAAAGTGAGAAAAAAATTGAGATAAAAAAATTTCCCACGATCACATTTTCCTCACAAAAAAATTGATGAGCCGCCGCTTCTGCGGGAAATATTATCGCAACCGGTTCTTTCGGTTGAACTTTTTATCTCAGATTTGATTTTGTAAATTTTAAGAAAATTCAAAAAATTCTTAAAAGCAGCCAATTTTTCTAGAAAAACGACCAACAAGATTTACAAAATCCATGACATTTTCCTGAAAAGAGCAAGTTGCGGCCGTGTAAGCAGAGAAGATTCCCAAAACCGGGTTTCTCGATTGAACACAACCTGAGAATTGGCACGGTAATTTCTGCGTCAAAAAGTTTGCAAAAAACTGTCGAAGTTTCAAAACTTCGAACTGTTTGAACGTCAAAACTTTGTTCTTAACCAAACTGGGCATAGTCAGATATAAAAAAAAAACCAATAATATCAGATTTGGCAGGATAGTTAGCGAAAAAAGTCAAAGAAACGGTCAACTAATCAAAAATTTGACATTTCCGAGACCCATAGCTTTTTATGTAAAAAAATTAGGGCGTAGCCGCCAATGCAGAAGAGATTCACTCAATCTGTAATTCCGATAGAACCCAAAATCTCAGATTTGGGAGGGTAGTTCTCGAGAAAAGCCAAAAACTTTTTTTTTAATTTTGACTTTGCCGAAACCTTTAATCAAAAATTTTGACATTTCCGACTGCCATTTTTTTGGTGTCAGAAATATTTGGGATTAGTCGCATGATCGAATGAGCTTCCCACAACCCGGTCTTTGAATTGAACCCAAAATCTCGAATATAGAAGGGTATTTTCAGAGAATATTCAAAAAGTTTAAAAACGGTCAAAGATCAAAAATTTGATTATTCCAAGGGCTATATCTTTATTCTTAAGAAAATTTGGGCGTCCACACACAGAGGAGTAGGCGGTCTTTCAATTGACACCGCTTTTTGAAAATCAGTACAAGTTTCTGAGAAAATAATAAATTTTCTAATAAATTTGGAAATAATTTTCCATGATGAAAAAATTCAACAAACCGATTGGTTAACATTCAACCAACATGAAAAGTGCGCAGGGGAGTGTTCAAGTTGTGTTTCTCTTAAAACGCCTCAAAGTTAGACCAATAAACCGATAAAAATAGGCCGAAGTCACTTAGGCCGAGGACTTTTTTTAAACGTAACAAAAAAAGAAGGAAATACGAAGTCAAGGTAAGTAAAATTATTAATTGTAAGAGTAAATCAATCTAAAAACAAAACTAGAAAAAATGCCCGCAGCAGAAAAAAGCGACTTCAAGATGTGCCAACTAAGCCGACCACAGATAAGCAGACAAATAATTGGCCCACTGTCCAAATAATAGTCCGTTTGAAAAAAAAAAACAGGTCAGTTTCAAACCCAGAATCTTTGCCATCCCGGGCATATTCGTTACCTCCTGGCTAAGTTGGCCAGAAACGCATAGAAATTTGAATTCGTTATGAACCCAGATACAAGTGATTCTGTTAAAAAAGTTGTTAACCCGAAAAAGTCTATTCCAGTTTAAAAACGCTGGCTATTCGCAAGCGTAAAGAGAAATAAAAAAAAATCAAAAAGAAGCCTATAAAAAATTAAAATTTTGCTGTGGCGTAATCGATTCTACGACCAGATTTTAAAACACCTGTCCTCGCATCTGCGCCACAGGCTCTTGAGAATTAACAAACACTGGTCGCAAATAAGGCAGCTGTATATCCATTGCCAATGCGACGCAGCAAAATAGGCACCTAATAAAAATAGACAGAATTTTGCATATAACAAGTTGGAATATAAACAACTGAAGGCATCGACACTAACTTTTCTTGTTAAATAATGGAAAGCATAAAACCACATTTTATATAAATTATGCACTTGAAAACGAGTTTTCATTATTGTACTGATGTTTGAAACAAATAGCTTTTTTCCAACTCAATTGATGACTTGGAAATGCATCAATTGTGTTAACTTACTACTAACCGAATGTTAAAGGACATGCTATCAAAAAGCCGTAAATGTGCTGCCAAAAGTGGCACGAATGTTTGCGACTTAGACTGGTAAAAAAAAAGAATATTCGTACTATTACACTACCCTGGCTAGTGCATTTAGCGGAATTGTAACAATAAATAATTAAACACTCTTGACCCAAAATCGGTGTGAAGAGCTAATTAAATGGTTAACTTTGATAATATTCATACAAGTATAATTAGAAACTTCGATTAAATTAGCTGCAAAGTTGAAGCTTTTTTAAATATACGAATTGGAAAAAATCTATGAAGATGTCAAGTAAACTAAGGCTTCTTTCTTATTTTTGACTTTTCAAGTTTGATACTTATTTCTTTGTCAGCGAGCAGAACATTCGGTTCCGCTTAAGTGGGGAAAATTGAAATAGTTGAGAATCTCTC